AAAAAAAAAAAAAAAAGTCTATATGGTTACTTTGCAATAGAAAATAATATTTTGAATATATAACAATCATAATACCAACTTAGCTTCAATATTATGCAAATCCTCTGCTCCTAGTCACCTGTCCCTCCTCCTTTATATCGCTGACACCGATTTTATTTTTATGTATTCTATGCCCATTAACACATTTATAAATTTCATTGTATGCATTTGCCTTTTAAAGCACATACAGAAAATAGAGAAGTCATGTACCAAATCAAAAGCAAAATATCAATAATTGGCTTTTATTTTTACCCATAAAGTTACCTTTATGAGTCTTTATTTTTTTCTTATGACTTTTAGTTACTGTCTAGCGTCTTTTTGTTTCAGCGTGAAGAACTCCCTTTAGCATTTTTATAGGGCATTTGTAGGGCAAATCTACTGGTTGTGAATACCTTCTTTATTAGTTTATCTGGTAAGTTTTCATCTTCATAGTTTTGCAGAATATAGAATTCTTGATTAAGTTATCCACTTTTCCAAGACTTTAACTATGTCATCCCATGGCTTCTGGGAAGATAACAACTATTAATTTTATTGAGGCTCCTTTGCATGTGACAAGTCACTCTCTCTTGCTGCGTTCAAAATTCTCTGTCTTTGGATTTTGACAATTTAACCATGAAGTGTCTCTGTGTGGATCTCTTTGGGTTTATTTTGTTGGGAGTTTATTGATCTCCTTGGGTGTATATGTTTGTCTTCATCAGCTTTGGGACATTGGAGACCATTATTTTTTCAACTATTTTTCCTGCTCCTTTCCCTGGTCTCCTTCTGGGATCCCAGATGTGTCTGTCTGTTGGCAGGTTTAACGATGTTCTGTAGGTCACTCTGAACCTTTCTCTGTGTGTTTGTTCTTTCTGCTCCTCAGACTAAGTAGTTTCAGTTATCCGCAATTTAGCTGCCTATTCACATCTGTTGTTGAACCTCTCTTGTGAGGTTTTCATTTCAATTATTGCATTTTCAGCCATAGAATTTCTGTTTGGATCTTTCTTTCTTTTTTGTGTGTGTGTGGTTTTTTTTTTTTTGAATAATTCCAATCTCCATATACTAATATTCTCATTTAATTTGAACATTAATTTCCTGATTTCCTTTCATACTTTGTTATGGCCACTTTAGCTCATTGATCATATTTAAGACAGTTGATTTAGTGTCCATGACTATAATTCCACTATCTAAATTTTCTCAGGAGTGACTTCTATCAAATTCTTTCTATCTTCCTGGGAATAGGTGTTTCTTTCCTGTTTCTTAGTATGTTTGTCACACCTATTTGTCAGTTTGCCTGGCAGTGGTGGCTCCGCATAGTGTTAGGATGCTGGAAGCTATGCCACCTTTCTCTCAAATACCAGCAGGGTCTGTTTCAGCAAAGTCTGTCTGTTTCAAAGGCTAAGAAGAAAAGTCTGATATCCACTCCCAAAAAGTATTCAATGAAAACCTACTTTGTATTCACAGTCATCAGAAGAGACAGTTGCTGGGGAAGATGCCATGTTTGGTAAAATACACAGCTATAAAGGATCTCTGGTAGCATAGTTAGTGGTTACGAGTTGGACTGCTAACCTCAAGGTCAACAATTCAAAACTTCCAGCAGGAGAAAGATGAGGCTTTCTGCTCCCATAAACATGCACAGCCTCAGAAACCCTATGCTGGGTTGCTATGAGTCAGAAACAACTGCATACCACCACCACCGAGGGTGTGGTGTGAACTGCAAACCACAAGGACGGAAATTCAAACCCACCAGCTGCTCCTTGGAAATCCTATACAGGGTCGCTGTGAATTGGAACTGACTGGATGGCACTTAACAACAACAACAAAGGTGTGGTGGACCCTTAGTAAAATGGTTAGGCAATATTGCCACTCAAATAACTCCAACATGTAGACAATTGAGCTAACAAGGGACCAGACAGTATTTTGTTTGATGGCACTAAGACTTGCAAAAAACCTCTTGAAAGTTTTCAAGAGAAAAGATGTCAGTTTGAGGACTAAGGTACGCTTGACCCAAGCTATGGTATCTTTGGTAGCCTCACATTCCTGTGAAAGTTAGACATTGACTACGGAAGACCATGGAAGAATTGATGCATTTGAGTTATCATGTTGGAGAATAATACTGAATGTACCATTGTTGTTGTTGTTGTTAAGTGCCATCAAATTGGTTCCGACCCATAGCGACCCTGTACAGGGTTTCCGAGGCTGTAAATCTTTACGGGAGCAGAAAGCCTCATCTTTCTCCCGTGGAGCAGCTGGTAGTTTCGAACTGCTGACCTTAAAGTTCGCAGTCCAATTCGTAACCACTACGCTACCAGAGCTCGCACTACCAGAAAAACAAACAAATTCATGTTGGAAGAAGTGCAGCCAGAGTGCTCCATGGAGACCAGGATGGCCAGACTTCGTTTCTCATTTGTTGTTGTTGTTGTTGTTGTTGTTATGTGCCGTGGAGTTGGTTCTGACTCATAGCCACCCTGGATAGGGTTTCCGAGGCTGTAAATCTTTATGGAAGCAGAAAGCCTCATCTTTCTCCCATGGAACAGCTGGTAGTTTTGAACTGCTGACCATGAAATTAGCAGCCCTTCGTAACCACTATAGTACCAGAGCTCCTTCTTTCTCATACTTCTGACATATTGTCAGGAGGGACCAGTCACTAGAGAAGGAAGGACATCATGCTTGCTAAAGTAGAAAGTTAGAGAAAAAGAGGAAGATAGCAATGAGATGTATTGGCACAGTGGTAGCAGAAATGGACTGAGGCGTAGCAAAAATTGTGAAGTTGGCTCAGGACTGGGCAGTGTTTCGTTCTGTTGTGCCTAGGGTAGTTGTGAGTCAGAACTGACTCAATGGTTTCCAAGAGTCAGTCAGTAGGAGAGCAGCTAACAATGTTCTGTAAACTTTTTTGTTGATTGAGAACTGGACATGATTATGCTGTGGCAATTAATGAAATTTAAGTCTTCCATCCATTAGGTATTCCTGGTTTTCACTTAGTAAGGATTGGAGCCATGTGTTTGTGACTTTTCCAGTGCATGTAATTTTGCACTGTGTGTATTCCTTGTAGTGCGTGGTCACTGAAGTTTCTGTTCCCTCTTCTTTGTGTCAGGTAGTAGTAATCTGACACAGGTTTTCTTAAACGTCTGCCTCTCAATAGAGTCTGCCTCTCAATAGACGGAAGGAGAGAGGAGAAAAAAACAGCACTGTGTCTTTAAATTCTCCACGGAAGGAGAAGCCTTCAGCTAGTGGGAATGAAATCTGAAATCATAGGCTGGCCGCCTTCTGTGCTGCCTCCAGGGACCCAAAGTGGCCATCAGCAATCAAAACACACAATCCCAATTTTTTGGAGGTCCAGGTCCTTATTGGCCACCGTGGGACCAGCAGGACACCCCAGGAACAAAAGCCCTGTCCCTCTGACCCGCCTACCCCCAGAATGGGGGTTGGGCTGGTAACTGCTACCCTACCGGAAAGGGGAAAGTTATTGAAATTTACCAGCCTCTTCTCCTCTCGAGGACTTCTTCCCTGGAAGTTCAGGGGGTCAGCTGGGCTCCAGTGTTCCTAAATAACTGGTTCAACCAGTTGGGCCTGTTCAGTCAGTTCTTGTTTCCGTGGAGAGACAGTCCTGGAGCATCCTCAGAGGGGGGCTGCAGAGCCCACGGAGAAGCAGCAGTGTGGAAGGAGGGGTCAGCAGCCCTAGGGCCACAACCCAGCCTGGAGGAGTGGGGGAAAGGGGCCAGCTCCCAGAAACCCTTCACCTTGGCCTTGCCTCCCCACAGGCCTGGAGGAGGAATGGACTGATGGGTGGGCTTTTCTTCCCTGGGACCTCCTGTACCCCAAGTTTCAGCACCTGCCCCTTCCAGTCCAGCTGGGATCCCCTTTCTCTAGGACCCTGCCACAAGGGCTTTGAGAAAGATGAGAAGGGAGAACTGGAACTTCTGTTGGGGCTTTTCACTATGGTGGCAGAGGAGCCCACGAGGACCAAGAAGGGGGTCTCGGGGCTCAGGCCCTGGAGGCAGCCAGGGGAAGGGGTGGCCATGAAGCTTCGACCCTGGGTCCTCGGGTCTTCGGCGAGGTTTAACGATGTTCTGTAGGTCACTCTGAACCTTTCTCTGTGTGTTTGTTCTTTCTGCTCCTCAGACTGAGTAGTTTCAGTTATCCGCAATTTAGCTGCCTATTCACATCTGTTGTTGAACCTCTCTTGTGAGGTTTTCATTTCAATTATTGCATTTTCAGCCA